CAGTTGTTTCTACTTCTGTTCGGGTTAGCTGTGGCCTTGTCATTTTTGTTGCAGCAAAAATTCTGATATGTGTACAGTAATAACTGGATTTTCTCAACTTTACCTCCTCTCTTCTGTTAGCCACATCGCTTGGAATGGTTGTCATCCATTTTTTTGACCTGGACTTTACTCTCTTCCTGTATTGTCATTTACCCTTCATTACTGCCCACTAATCTTACAGAGATTCAAAGTGTTGCTCATACCATAACACAATGCAAGAATCTGTACATAAGTTACATGGGTTCCATCAGCTACTTATAAAAAACACTTCACACAAATGCAGTCCTCCTGCCAAATTTTTGAGCCTCCTCTTTCAAGTGTGAACACCATTGAGCTTTTATTGAATTTTGTAATAATCAACATATTGAAAAAATATGGACTATTTTACCAGAACTTTCTCCAAAAAATCCAGCCTACAGGAGACAGTTAAGAGAAGTTATAAGCAACAGGGAATTGTCAGGTTTGAATACAGCAAGTTTTCTGCTATACTGATGATTGTAACAGTATTTTTTAATCTTCCAGGATGATGATGATGTTGGAAAGTTTTAGCCAACAGCTCTGTGATACTCAGGAATAATCAGTTTATGCTTTACACTTTTAAAAGAGTTTCCAGTTAATCTTACTAAGCTCAAGAACGTACTCACCTTAATTCCTACTTATTACAGATATGTTCATATAGATGTTTTTGCCATTTATAGCATTTTATGATCAATAAGCTATTGATGAGTAACTTGATGTTAAATCTGGGTCAGAAGATTCCATGGGGTCAAAATCTTTGCTCTGCATTCAGTTTGGCTGTTATTTATCTGAGAGTATTTGGATCTTACAGTGCGTTATGTGACCACCTTACATCAGAATTTATGATCTTCCCTTATTTGCTATGGCAGTCTCATGACTGAGGATAGTTTTGGGGTTTTTTTCCCCTCTAATAACTGCTATGGGGAATTTCTGTTATGATCAGAAGGTGAAAGTTTCTTTCTTTATACGGTGAATTCCTTCAATTTCTGTTATATACTGATTATCCTTCTAACACTACAGAGTATATAAATTTCATCAGGAAGATCATAATGAATACTTGGAGTTAAGAACTATTTAAGAAATTTTGTACAACTGTCCTCCTGTTTTCAAAGAAATAATCGTAAGAATAATTTAATCTTTTGCCAGATTTAGAAAGTTATATTTTAGTACCATAATATAAATCTGTACTCAGTGGTATCATAAGCTTGAAAAATCATTTTTATTAACATACAAAAAAGAATAAGAAAAACAGACATTGTAATTAAACATTTGCTTTCATCTACAAATAAGTACTGTGAGTAACAAAACAATAAAACAATCCTTTAAGTTCTTCTGAACAGTTAGAAACAAAGGAAGGAATTTTCTGAAACAGAAGCAAAAGAAAGAGTCTTTTGAAATAGAAAATATTTGGCAATATCTTTTAGTCTCTCAATAAAATATCCATGTAAACAAGTAATCCATATTTACAATATCATATGCAATCTTGGTTACATGTAGTAAAAAGTGTACATGTAATTACTGTACATTCAATTTTAAAATCTAATTTGCACGATTTCTGCTTCTATGTGCAGTACTGCATGACAGCATGTAAATACATGAAAAAATATTTTTTTTCAGGCATCTTAAAAAAATAGCACTTTTCATGTTAGGTTTTGTAACTTCCTATATTTTTATAGGAATCCAAACTTGGAATGTAAGCTCTACAATCATGTCCCTGTAAAAACAACAATGTAGAACATTTCCAAACATGCAGAAAAATCCTGATAAAAAAGCTAGAGTTCTACCTTCCATTTATATCTTTGAAAAGATACCTTTTTATTTCCTGTGTTGCTACTATTACACATAAATACAGGTAAGAAAAGTTGCATGAAAGGAATGTTAATGGAAGGCCACTTTGAGAAGCAGCTTTAGGAATATGTTTTTTCCTAGAGAAAATTACTCTCCAAAGTCCTATGTGTTTTTATTTAGCACTTGAACTAAACTCATATGTTGCAAGGACACTTAAAACCCTTTTAAACCAGTTTAGAATAGAAGCCAAAAGTCTATAGCATGTTCAGCCTGTTTTAAATTGTACACACAGAGGTTGAGGAGCTTACAACTACCACATCTCACGGGAACCTTCCAAAGAGCAAAGCAGCCAGAAGCCCACAGTTCATACACATGAGATATTGCTGATTATGGTAATTTCCCAGAATGGAATCTTCCAGCTCCCATTGAGTTTCTACTATCACGTTTAACCTCAAAGTTGAAAAACAAAAATACAGTCTGGCAGACTACCCTCAAAAGATTGCTAATCCTCGATTTTCAGTTAGTTTTGTATTATCAGAATAGAGAAGAAATGCCACCGTTCAAGTATCATTACTCTTGAACAGTACATGGAATAAATGGAAAACAGAAGTTACTATATGGTTGCTATAGTTTAACTTTACCAGCATATAGAACCATTTACCTAAAAGCTGTTGATTTCAATACATCCAAGTCAGTATTGTAACAAAACACAGGTTTTGTGGGTTTTTTCCCAATATTCTGTACAGTTAGAGTTTTTTCCACAACAATCCTTAGACAAGTGACTACCTTCCACATGAACATACGCTTTTATTTGATGACTTAGTGCTATGCAAGGAGTGAATGAGCTCGTTTTCACAGGTGAATGAGACACAGTAATAGGCCAATACATACCAACTCAAAATGCTGCTGCCTGTGTGAGTGCAGTATAGAAAGCTAGCATAGTAAATTACTAGAACAGTTGAGTTCATTTATTCACTTCACCTGTTACACTTTGAAAGTGTTAGTAGAGAATCTCTCCCAAAAACTAAATATGCATCCACCAGCTGTCAGATGCTTACTGATTTCACAAAAAAAAAGCAGACTTGTTGAGCAGAACCTAACAAGATCAGAAGAAAAAAAGTACAGTTAGTATTCACCAGAAGCTACTGTGAATCCCTCTTCCTATTTAATGTTCAATATATAAATTTGTAATAGATGCATAATTGTGTCATGTCAGTTGAGCACTAATGTCATGTAAAACAAGTGCTCATTCTTCTCTCAGAAAGCTGCTATCAGTACTATTTGGATTTTATGCTGAAGCTGTGCAGAACAATTTTAGGGAATACAGATAATTGTGTGGAACTTGAAAAACAGGGCAAAAGCTCTCCGATCCATTGCACACAGTGGGACTGGAGGAGTGCTCACACGATAGGATAGTATTCCTTCTGTCATACCAGAATTCTACACTAAGGCTTTAAAAAGCATGTATTTTCTCAAATGAAACAATGCACGAATGCAAGGTGGGTCCCAGTCATCCACAAACATATGTAAGTGAAAACATAGAACTCTGGGATGTAGTCCTTGAGTACCAAATGGTACAGCAGAAAAGTTTTTCATATAATTTAGTATGCTAGCACTCTATACTGCATTCACTAAATAATTAAATGTTATTACAAACCAAATAACATGAACTGAGGTGCTTCTTGTCAGAGAAGATCAAAAATAACTCATGACCAAAACTGTTTGTACTAACTTAACACTGAACTGCAAAAATTGCATATTTGCTAAACTTTAATGTGTTTAAACATTTTGAAAAGCTGAAGTAGATAAAAATTTATGTAGCCTTTTAAAAAATAGGAAATTATATGCTGTCTGAAACTGTCTATATTGCAACATGAACAGTGTTCATGGACTTGCAGTGGGCTCTGTGGGTTTTACAAGAGTTTATAATAGAAAGTCTCATCATTTTGGACATATGCAATCAAAATAATCTACTATAATTATTCTTCTATAGTAGTAAAAAATAAGTATTGTTTATATCTGTGAAAATAATGAATGAGCATAATACATTAGTAGTCTGATTACTAGAGAGAGCTATAAAAGTAAAGTGCCAGTAGAGATTCAAACTGCATTATTTAACACTTTAATTTCAAATTTAAAAGTCATAGAATTTCTATAGTTTTCTTACAGACTAAAGTATGTCTTCATGCCCATGACGATAATGATTTTGACACCAGTGTGGAGATACCAAAATTGGCTTTCATTTAACGGGTAGCATTTTAATCAAATCAGCAAAGTTCAGCTGTTTCTTGGAGGAAGCATTTCTCACTTCAAGCTCCTTTCTTCTGTGAGACTGCTAGCAGTATTCTCTGGTTTCTAACCTGCTAATTTCTAGTATAGTGCCATAAATCAATAGAACTGTGCAATCAAATAAAGATAGTAAAATGCTGCCTTCTGGGATAAAAGGAATACTTGGTTTAAGTGATACATATTTTTCTAAGAGTGTATCCATAGCTTTCCAAATAAGATAAATTCTCCATTTGGATGTTTTAGATTTTCCTTAGATTTCAGTAATGATTGCACATAAGCCAAAGCCACATGTTATCTGTATACAATATATTTGGTAGAGTTGGTTAAAAAGTCAAGAGATACATTCTGATTAAAAAACCCCAAACCTAGAAGTTTTTAAAGGGAAGATAACATTTAATGAAGATTTCAGGCAAACTTTAATTTCTTTTTTTTTTTTTAATTCAAACTTTTAGACTAAACATTTTTGTGGTGCAACTCAGCAAAGCACTGAATTACCTCAAATCGCATAGATCTTAGCAGCTGGTGAGCGGGTTAATTAGCTCGAGAAATCAGGGCTTGAACAAAGTGAACACTACCAGAAAAACTGTGTGACTAACTAAATTCTGCTGTCTGGTATACTTCATGACTCCGATTCATAACCTGCAAAATCAGTCAGAGCAAAATCTAGTCTCAATTTTTTTAACTTTTCATGACTATAAGAGATTCAAGCATTAAATTAAGAAGTGATATGGAAAACATTTTCCAATTATGTGATTTTCCCATTATGCGATGTCATTGACACTCTCATTTTTTAAATGAGGACTGAGCCTGAACCAATATGTTTGGGACTTAATGAAATTTAAATTCATATGCAGAAAACTTGAGTATCTTTAAGCAAGCCATACTGAAAATAAACCCCCAACCTACGTGTATATCAGTATAACTAAATTGGAAGGAAAAGAGGAGTTGGCAGTATAATAGTACTGTTATTCTGTGTATTTTGTTTACATAGTTGATCGTTGGCCTGCTTCATCAAATTTGAGGTTTTGTTTTCTTGCTGCTTCACTAGTGACCCTCAGATCAGATTTATCTGCATTACTACCATCTGTCATTGTGGATTCCGCTTCTGTGCCTTCAGGAGTCCCTCCAACGGGCCGCAGAACTTTAACATTCTCTTCTGGGGGGCGCTTCCAGTGGGGCCTACTTGCCATCCACAAAATAAGTGCACCATATATGACAAGCAAAAGACCAAGACAGTTGACAAAAGTTGCCTCTGGTGGGGATGCACTATATGCAGGATTCTTCCTTTGGAAGGGAAAAAAAAAGGTCAGTTGTTTTAAAGACAATCCTGGTCTAAAACCAGCAGTCTCCTGCTAGGTAGGAGGTCTTTTTAAAACAAAACAAAATAATGTCCCAGTACTAGAAGGTTGTTATTCTCTGCAAACAGAAGTACAGTTTGCAATGAATAACCTTAATAAACAAGTGGAAAAAAATACTTACAATGAAAAGATAAGCTTTTCTGTGATTCCCATGAGAGCAGTTGCAATCACTGTTGCAAAGATGGTAAGACCCGAATAAACATGTATTGGCATGAGAGCTGCTCGGAGGGTAACTGGAGCAAACGGGAGCAGAAAGACAGCGAAACCCAAAAAAAGCTAAACACAAAACAAATTCATAGTTAAAGCTATATGGGAAACAAGCTGCACTTCTCAAGCAGAATAAAAATCATCATAAAAATTCCATTTTGAGATGTCTTCAGGTACAAATTTGAAAAAAAATTGGCATTTCTGAATGTGTTTCCCTTCAAAGCCAAAGCAATAATTCTGGATTGGCACCTGGGAAGCAGACAGGAACTGTTTTATAAATAATCCCACCTAGTATCAGTGTCCATACTTATTGGTAATGCTAAAACTGCAACCAAACCAAGTACGGGAAACACAAGTTTTCAGTCTCACTAATTCAGTAATATATTAAAGGTATGAGCAGCTACATTTTTAGTCTCTTCAAGTCATAGAATCACAGAATGGTTTGGGTTGGAAGGGACCTTAAAGATTATCTAGTTCCAACCCCCCTGCCATGGGCAGCGACACCCTCCACTAAGACCAGGTTGCCCAAAGCCCCATCCTACCTTGAACGCTTCCAGAGAGGGGACAACCACAGCTTCTCTGGACAACCTGTTCCAGTGCCTCACCACCCTCACAGTAAAGAATTTCTTGCTGATATCTAATGTAAACCTATCCTCCTTCAGCTTAAAGCCATTACCCCTTGTCCTGTCACTACATGCCCTTGTAAACAGTCCCTCTCCAGCTTTCCTGTAGGCCCCTTTAGGTACTGGAAGGCTGCTCTAAGGTCTCCCTGGAGCCTTCTCTTCTCCAGGCTGAACAACCCCAACTCTCTCAGCCTGTCTTCATAGGAGAGGCTCCAGTCCTCTCATCATCAAGTCCCATTCTCTGCTTCTGTTACAGATTTACACATAAATGAAGATCAGAAGGCAGTCTAATGTTATGACTTGAGTGGACTAAAAAATTGTACCTTGTTCGAATTTTGGTTAAAGTACATGACTTTAGAAGGGCAATGGTCTATATCTCGATATATCAATCAGTTGGCATTTATGGAATGAAGATGCGTGTGGGTGGCATGAAGTTATTCAGGCGACATGAGTCCTCCCATTAGCATTAATTTTGTGATGGAAGATAACCAGTCATGTCACGTGGTTTCAGTCACTGACTTGCCCAATCATATTGAGGTTCGCATCCCTTCTTTAGCTTGTTCTACTGTTACCCCTGCTGCTAAATTAGAAATCGTGCATGAATTTGTATTTCATCTTACTTTAACTTCCAGTCTTAGCCCTTGTTTTGTCTTTCCATGCAGGATTAAAGAGCCTGGAATTTTCTCCCTAGGAAGCTTTTTAATACACTATAATCAAGTCATCTCTTAATCTTCTTGCATCTTTAGATCTGCTAAACAGTTGGAGCTTTTTAAGTCTTTCACTGGAAGATAGTTTTTCCAGCTCTCAAATTACTTTTCCTGACTTTCTTTGTTGGATTTTTAATTATTATTATTATTATTTTTTACATTTAAAAAAAATCCATAGTATTTCATAGTAGTTTTGCCAATGCCATATGTGAAGGTTAAGACAATCTCTTATTAGAGAATTTACTTTTCCTGTTGTCACAGCATCGTGAGAACTCATTTTGAGCTTCATGTCATCTTTGAGTACTTCTTTCCAGAGACACTGATTTCCAAGAGACAGTCTCCATTTTACATTTCTGCCCTATTCTTAAATTTATGTCCTTGTGCTATACTGTATTAACATACATTTGGTTTAAATACAATATATTTACACTATTGTTCCCACAGGTATAGTATTATGTGAGCATCCCCCCTCAAGAATTTTTCAATTCTGAGATTGACATGCCATTTCTGGCAAATGCCAAGTATCTTCTCTATGAACAGAGATACTACTTTATGACTATTTTTTAACAATAGTGCTCAATCACTTAAAAAAGTCAGTCTCTGACTGGAGACTTACATCCCAGTTTGGAGGAAGTAACACCACAGTTCTATTGATGAGACAGGCAAAGCATTAAGTGCCATTGATCATGTTTATAGTAGCAAAATGAAAAGTAGAATTAAAATGTTATTCACAATTCTTTATCTTAACCATTTGAAAAAATGCTGTGTGGCAGCACAGATTTCCCAGAAATAACTGCATTATTAGGCCAAGGAAAATCTTAACATTGTTCCTTCTTATTCATTAGCTGTTGTTCAACTATGGAGTATATACTCAACAATGCTGTGATACACTTTCTTTTTTCTAAGTGTTAAAAACACTATTTCAACACTATGTCCTGTACCTCCTAGCCTGAGCAGTGAAGAATAAAAGTCCAGAACCCAAATCCCTCAGCTGGGGATTTTCTGTGCTTGATCACCAGATAATTAAGTCTTACTTTTTTCTTTTCAGTGTTTTGGCAAAAAAAAAAAAAAAAAAGAACCACAACTTGAGGGAACAAAATAAATTTCTGTAGTGTAATAACACAATATAGGGAATTCAGAATGTATATGCAGAAACATCACACCTGTACGTGTACACTAAATGTTAGGGCATGCCTGCTCTTCCATGCCAAATGCAAACCAGACTAAGTTAGCTCATTTTAGATTATAACTCTAATTCTCTGCCAATAGGAGCAGTTAAAAGCATGCATATAAACATTTATAAAAGTTTTGCTGATTCAGCAAAACTGATTAGCTAATAGAGCAGCTCACTCAGATGTCAGATCCTTTAGATCTGCACAGCTCCCTGCTGCACTTGTTCTGCTGATAAACAAAAGTCTTGAGGCCAAGAAGTGACTACTTAAAGTTACGATAGCTGGAAAAAAAGAAAAACAATTACTTCATTTAAGACGTCCTTAATAAAAGCTCTAACTGTATTTAAATATGCTGCCAACAAACCAAATCACTCGCTCTAGCTTCAGCACTTTATAGAGCACACACTGCTGTATAACTGAATAGTAAATAAACTGCCATTATCCCAGCAAATAAACAAAACATGCTTTAAAATACATTTTTCTTTGAAGTCAAGGATCCACTGTTTGCACATTTACATGCTAATTTGTCAAATCACAGGATGTAAAATGGGTATCCCAGTAGTTAGAGTGTATTAGTGAGGGCCTATTGTGCCTGAATTACTCAACACATTCTTCATATTTACAACCTGTTCATAAATACAGTTAGATTCTGACCTGGAGAGAATAAAATATAACAGCAGTCAGCCCAATCCAGCTGTGCAGGCTGTACATGTTAGGAATGTTCCTGGCATTGTGGAATTCAAACACGGCTACCATAGAAACAATTGCAAGAATCATAGCTATGGTATTTAATCCAGCATGTATGAACTTCATTAGGAGTTTGCTGCACTTCCAGGTCCAGGGCAACCTGTACACAATAATAGCTGAAGAAAGAACAGAAACAAGATTTTATGCCGTATAGGATAACTTCTCTAAGATTTTAATAATCATGCATTATTCACATAGTTCCATTGTCATTTACAGGCAAATCCAACCTTTAATCCTCTAGAAGACTTTTTCTCCTACACATAGCATAGCATATTCCAAATATACAACTGAGGCTTAAATATAACTTTTACAGAGATTTCTTCCCAATTTAAAAAAACAAAAGTAATCAATCTGTATAGTAGGTATAATCAGCACACCAAGCTTATGATCACCTTCAACGGTTCCCCAAAAGTTATATGATAGTCTTATATCTTGTTAATACTGAAAGAATTGCCTGCATCAGAGTGTTAACTTAGTACTAATGATTATGATTTCTAATTTTGTAAAGCAGGTATGCCAAAAGGCCCCAAACAAACCTCAGCATCCCATGAGGATATTCCCAGTAAATCCTCCTTGCTCTATCTTACAATACGGCCCATAGTATTGGGATATTTCAAAATCCTGATTTTAAAGGGCAGAGTGATCTTGCAATATGTGGCATGGGACACTTATTCTTTGCAAAAGGTACCAAGCAAAATTCTGGAGTTAGCTCTGTAGTATTTCTGACTGGCACCTGCTTCACGTGCTGTAAGGAGGTGTCATGGATGGCTCATGGGATGCCTTCCACCTTAGAAGGCACAGTGTGGTTCTGTGAGTGCACTGGGGGTGCCCTGCACAGCATCTCACAGCTGCCAGAAAGGAATGTTCCTCTTCACTCCTCCCATTTCCTCTTGTGCTCCTTGGCTAATCCTGTTGCTTACCTTCGGCAAGTACTGAATGCCCACTAGATTCCTTGGGAACCAGTGGGACAAGTGCCCATTTATGATTTCAAAGGGACTCAAACTAAGCTCATCAAGAGAGCTGCCTCTTCACAGGCTGCCTGTGATGAGACCCTTACAGCTCTGCAGTCATTTGCCCTTCCAATTCTTGAGAATTCTGCAGCCCATTGGATGTTAGAAACTCCAACAATTAGCCATTTTTCCTTTGAACAGTAGTTTTGTTATGTTTGAAGCAGAGGTTTGTCAGATAACTCAAAGCAAGCATTATCTTTAGATGTGATTTCAAGATGAAAGGCTATGCTTACTTTAAAATAGATTTGCACTCCTCCTTGCTCTTGCACATTGTCCACCATCCCCCTTCTCCCATCTGTGGCACTTCTGAGACCCTTTGTGCAGGCAATTCAACTTTCTATTCCTGCTAAAACTGTACTTGGGGTGGGTGGGTGTTAGTTTTCTGCTAGTCGAGTTAATTCAGTTTATGGGTCTGACAAGGGCCAGAGCTGGCACAAACCAGCCAGTAGGAAGATGAAGTCTGAGTCAAGGAGAAAGCTGAAAGGGAGAACTGGAGGAAAAAAAGTAGGGATATTTCAGCCACAGCGAGCTGTTAGTTTGCCTCACCCTCCTAGGTAATTTCATCCATATGGATGAAATTTAATTGACTCTGTAACACCACATGGTAATGTGGCAGACTAAGATTTTTCCTTCTGAACTCTTAAGTAAAACATTCCTGTTGTATTTCTTTATTAATATACTGCTGACGTTAGGCTACATCCTCATGTTTTAAGCCTGTTTAAATACAAGTTGTATGATATTTATAAATCATATATGATGAGGAATATTAATTGTGCAAGCACCTTCCAAGATTTATAGTGTCAAACTACAACTTTATTGTATAGAGTTTACACGTGACTCATAAGCAGTAGAAGAATGATCTGAGGATGGGAGACAAGGACTACCGCACCCTCCTTGTTCTGACTCACTCTTCATTCAATTTTCCACAACCCCCAAAACCACTGTGCTGCTTCTCAATCTGCAACAGAGATTGTCACAACTCTGTAGAAGAAAGTATTCTTTTGTTAGGTGAGTAATGGGAAACCCTCAAAAATCATTTATTCCACATTGTATCTTGATGGATTCCTTAATTAGTCCTTTGGGAGAGAACCAAACATTATCGTTTGCAGGCCAAACATGAACTATCATCCAAATACTCCTTTGGAGCATGCCCTGGTCATTTCCACATGTAAAATAAGACAGAATTCCTTATTTACTTATTTAACCCATTCTATCACACTACTATTCCTTCAAGCGCTTCCTAAAACTCACTTTTCCCTCATGTTTTTTTCCTATCTTACTATTTTCAAAAATGCTGCTGTACTAATATGCACACAGACTTTTATTGCCTGTGTTTTTCCCACTTTAAGTCTTGAAAATCATCTGGACAATTACTATGCACTGACAGTGTTTTGTCAGGTATCATTTACCTTTAGGTGCTGATCCACAAATAGTAAGTATTAATATTAATGTGCCTACAACTTTTTCATTTGATTGGCAAGATATATACAACACTTTTATCAGGGCACGTCTGCTTCCCAATATGCGCATTATTATCGTCATCCATTCTACCTGACCAACTACAGACCAACAATACAACATTTCTATCCTTTGTATAGACTTTAATGATTTATTATTTCAAATCCTTCACACAATTTTAACCAAGATATTTATTAGCTATTCCTTTCTACTTTTAACTACTTAAAAACTTCTTTTTCTTGTATTTGTGCAAAGACGTATCCTATTTCCCAGTCTCATCCAAATTACTTTGAATTCAATGGCAGACTTTGCTCAGCCAAATTTGAATCAGATCCACAGTGGTATCTTATCTGTTGATATTTAATCTGATTTACTAGAAAACTTCAGTCTCTGACTTTGCTTTTCTTGTTACATAATATGATTTCCTCCCCAAATTATCAGTTAATTCCTTGTATATGTTCCCTTTCTTTTTGAGCTGTGGTAAACTTCCATTTACTTTACATATATCCTTACTGACACAAGGCTTGAGGCAACATCGTTACTCTGTGACACAGGGAAAAACTGAGTTTCAGAGGAAAAAGAGGAAAATGCGTAGGAAAAAAGTTGCAGAAAACCTCCCCCTATTTTCTTCAAAAAGTCTATACAGTAGTTTGATCACAGTCAGCAGTATGTATCTTAGTGAATTCACCAGGTGTTTCTCATTTCTTATTTATAGCCTAAAATTACACTTCCCATGACCTATTGAGCAATATTATGTAAACCAACTTCAAAATACAGTTTATTGCTCAATAGTAATTTGTAACTTGAAGCCACAAAACCGAGTACACACCCCACTCCCATTGAAAAAATGAAATGTACAGCGTATGTTCAAATCACAACATTCCCTTCATAGCCAGAACTAGACAGCCACCCACTCCTCCTGCATCTTCCAACCTCTGACGGGCTGGGCTCCTGCTG